GGGGGGGGGGGCGTGAAGATGAAGTTGATGGGCTCAATCATACAATGAGGGGGAGCTAGCTGGAAAAATAAGGTGGTTTGAGGTGATATTTAACCAATGCATCATTTTTTTGCTTCAAAATTTTCCAGAGGGGCGTTGGTGCATTTAGGGATGCAAACTTGTTGAGGGAGGGTGTGCACCCCATGCTCCTCCTACATACGCCACTCTGAATTGGATGATCATCATCAATAAATTGCGGGATTTCTTATTGCAGCTCCTTAGCACATTTATGTTTAAGTTCTGTTCTGGGATTTATAGCTATATGTGATTTGCACACATTGGTGTGATATAAGACCTTCATACCCATATATGGGCAAATCACACATTATTTATTACATTTAAATTTTTAAAGTGTGGACAGAATTTTTATAAAATTAACTATGCTAAATATATTTATTATAACTTTTACTATACTCATTACTCTTATTAATTTTATTAAATTATAACAATCACCTTATTTCTTATGTAGATGTTGACCTTATGTGTGTTTTGTCCACAGTGTCTGAGATGAGTTGATTCTTTTTTATCATAATGTCATTTGAGCTTGAAGTTGCCGAGTTGGTTCCCATACTCTTGTTATCGGGTGTTGTCATATTCCTGAACATCATTTTCTGCTGTTATCTTATAAGGTAAAATTAATTGACAACATATCTGCTGTTGTTATTATTAATTGTATTAAATGATTTGTGTTCAGTAGTGTAATGAAGAGACCTGGGCTTCTGGCTAAGACTTTTGGTCCCTTTAGCTACCCTGGTAGACTTGCCACAAGTCTCTAATTTATTGATTTTTCCTAGTATTAGATAATGTTTGAGAGCACGACCAGCATCTGTTTATGTCAAGAAACTTGTTATGTTATTGAATTTGAATGGGCATTAGACCCAGAAAAAGTATGGTATGGAACGCCATGCAAATATATAATATGGAACGCCATTGGTGCCAAACGGATGTATTTTTAAACCTTTTCACTGATTAAGACAAAATTCAGAGACTGGAATCCAGTCTACTGCCCTGGGGGCTGAGTTTGCTTAGAAAGCCCGTTGGGACATGGGAAAACCCCACTTCAGCATTTAAGGGCATGTTTTGATGTTTTGTTTTTTTTTTATTTTTTTTGCTTTTTCTGAGCAAGGCTCCTTAAAAGGCCTCGCTTGGCCGATTTGGATTAAAATGAAAAATGCTGATGAATATCCCGGAGCACTTAAGGTTTGAGGCTCCTGGTTTTAGCCAGTGAGAGCTCACATAGCTCTTAGTTACACCACTGTTTGCGTTATTGTATTATTAATTTATACACTGTTGTATGGCCACCATGAAGCCAATCATAATTGGGTATAACGTTTCCCAGAAATGTTGTTTATTATAACTTTATTCAGTTAATATAACTTGTACTGTATTGTTGTTATTATTTGTTTTAATGTTATTATTTTTTAAAATTATTTTTACCTTGAATGCTGTAGTTGGGTGGAATACATAATGGTGAGAGTATCCATCAAGTATTTCATTCATGTTCCTACTGGAAATTCCAGCTGCATACTTTAATATTTTTGGTATAATATTTATATATTAATGATAATTAATTATAATAATTAATTATAATATTCTATACCATTAGGTGTTGTTCAAAGATAAAAATATTTCAGCCAAGTAGTAAAATACTATTGTTTGCTATCTGTATACCGTAGTTCCCTGGGCTATAATAAGCCCATCTCAGCTATAAACCCACTCCCTACTTTACGCCCAATTTTATATACCAGAATTTTCATGGGCAAAAGTCTTTTTGCCTTTTGATCGGAAAGGGATTCCAGGGTAAAGTTGATAAAATACAATTGTTACTATACTTTCAAACTCAACTCAGTAAACATGAATTTCATTTCATTAGGCCTATTTTTTTTTGGTCCAACTGCCTGCCAAAATCTGGCCAGTAGAGCGCTTAAGCCTCCTTTGTCCCCCACTGCCACCGCCACTGGGTATGCTTATACCAGAGGACCTACTGTAGTAATTTTTAGTAAATACTCTATGTTATTTTTATGTCTCAGATTGCGACATGAAGCTCAAGTGGAATGCGGATATAGAAAGGTAAAGTTTGATGATCCTCATTTGTTCAACTTCAACTTTGAACTTAATTGTATTTACATGTATATTTGCTATGATTGATCTAGTCAGTTAAACGCAATGGGAACCAAATTCCTTAGTCATTGTCAGTGATAATGCCGCCAGCTTTTCCCTGACAGGTGGTCCATTGTTCCTTGACAGATGGGCCAGAGTCCACACTCACCTCAGCCCCACCATGTTTCATTTTCCCTGACAGGTTTTACCATGGCTTCCCGATGGCTGGGGCCAGCCTACCTTCTGGCGCCACCCCTGATCATCGTCCACTGTAGTAAGCAGGGATGTCACCAGCTTTTTGGAGTGCCGGTCGGCGATCATCCCGCGTTTTCCCAGGGGGGGGCGACAACCACCACCCCCCTCCCCCCGTTTTTCCGGGGGGGGGGGGGGGGCGCCGTATTCGTGGAAGCTCTTAAAAACCAAAAGGCCTAAGTCAAGCAGGCCTAGGCCCAAGGCTAGCTGCTGTCTCTTATACACATCTAGATGTGTATAAGAGACAGATGTGTGTTTTGTCCACAGTGTCTGAGATGAGTTGATTCTTTTTTATCATAATGTCATTTGAGCTTGAAGTTGCCGAGTTGGTTCCCATACTCTTGTTATCGGGTGTTGTCATATTCCTGAACATCATTTTCTGCTGTTATCTTATAAGGTAAAATTAATTGACAACATATCTGCTGTTGTTATTATTAATTGTATTAAATGATTTGTGTTCAGTAGTGTAATGAAGAGACCTGGGCTTCTGGCTAAGACTTTTGGTCCCTTTAGCTACCCTGGTAGACTTGCCACAAGTCTCTAATTTATTGATTTTTCCTAGTATTAGATAATGTTTGAGAGCACGACCAGCATCTGTTTATGTCAAGAAACTTGTTATGTTATTGAATTTGAATGGGCAAACAAAACAGATGAAGATGAGACTTACTGTAGGCCTAATTAAATTCAATAGTTGACGTGCTTTGTTTTACATTAAAAAATAATAATGAACAAATCCCGGCGACAAAGCGTCGATCCGACTGTACCCAGCCGTGTTGTTTGCTGTAATGTCCCATGTTTGACGATACCACGATGAATGTGTATGTCACTGATTCATGTGCACTCATTTATTTATTTTTTGTCCATTTACACACATTATATATCAATTATAACTAAGTGAAATACAAAATGAAAGCAAAGTAAAGAAATAAAACATAAATCAGGTTTCGTAAATTTTTAATAATCTTCCTGCCCCGAATCATGCTCTCATAATAAAACACTTGAAGGGTCATGATTTCAACTTTAACCTTTGAATGTGTACAGCAACCGTGTCATGCCGGCCCACGACGTTCGCTATGACTCAACTGGGCCTAGGCTGTTCAGTTAGCATTGAATAGCAGGGCAGTGCAGTATTTTGTTACAATTATAGTAACCACGGAAACATTTATTGTATTCTTCTTGTCTTTATCTATCAATTTAGCTTGTCTATTGTGTTTAGGTAAACTAATTATTTTGTTACAATTTGTAAACTTTTGAAATAATAGTGGTGGTCGGGAGCCTGTAAATCCTGGTCGGAAATGTTGAGTGCTGGACGGGCCCGTCCACCGCCGACCAGCGTGGTGACATCCCTGACTGTAAGGGCATTTAAACTGTTTGGAGATTATCAAAAAAAGCATATAATTTATTGGATTACTGTTTTCCCTCACACACTTTCATTTCTTATTCTTCAGTAAAATTGTATATTTATTTTTTTTACCTAGATGCTTTTGACACTATTGTTTTGCTAAATGATAAAAAAAAAATACATAAATTTATTTATATATTTTTTCCAACTTCAAAATTCAAATTTACTAAACAAGGTATACAAAAGGCTCATTTTGTACACTTTAAAATTATAATTATGATACATTTCATTAACAATATTTTTTCTGATCAAAATTATCTCATGTTTTATAGGTAAAATTTTCTATAAGAACATCACCTAATGATGTAAGTATTTTATAACCATCTTCATATTTGTATTCATATTGTTTATCTTCTTATTCTCAGTCATATATTTTGTTATTTTGTATTTACCCCCAGGTGACAACTTGCATTCTGCCACTCAAGCCCACTGGAACATATTAATGTGGTCCAATACAATATGATGCGATACGATAAAAATTTATTGTCACAATGGTATAAATGCAGCTCTGAGATAATGGATCCTTAAATATACTCATAGTAGTAGAAAAATTTAGAAATATAATTAAAGTACATACAAGTTGCAAAACAGAAATTGCTTAAATTTTAAAAAAATACATTGCAAGGATTACTGAGTTGTGATGGAAAGGCAATATATTGTACATTATTCTGGCTTATCTATTAAACTACATATTAAAAAGTCTGACTGCTGATGGAATGAATTAATTGTTAAACTGGTTGGTCTTAACTTTAGGGTGTATTTATCTACCAGATTTATTGAGAGTAATAGCATCATGGACTGGGTGGGTAACATCAGACAGTATGCATTGTAATGTCATAGATAACATTATTTGTGTTCACTAACAATTTTACTTCTTTACCATTAATCATCAGACATGCATGATCATTCTTGGCTTTCCTGTTATCGAGTATAATTTCATTTGTTTTATCAACATTCAGAACAAGATAATTTTCACTACATCAGAAATCAAGAAACATATGACCTACTGTATATTCATATATATCATCATCATTACTAAGTAATAATACTAAACCTATACCCATGGTTAGGGCCCACAGCCCTGGACCCATGTGTTCTCTCAGTGGTCCTGAAAATGAGTTGATGTCAAAATAAAATTAAATGATTGCATTACTAAAGATTCCGCCCTCCCAATATTTAAACCCTACCATTCGGCCCCTATTGAGACCTCTACTTAGCCCTAGATCTTTGTAGAGGTATAGGCCTTACCGTAAAAAATTTATAAAAAGAATGATAAAAAATTTAATTTTCTTTGTTATTAATGCATATCATACTTTATTTCTTATTTATTTGATTCCTATGTTTTTCAGAGTTGTCCCGTTTGTTTAGAAGATTTTACACCTGGTGAAAAGTTGGGTCAAACACCTTGTCACCACACATTCCATCTACAGTGAGTTTTTTTTTTTACATTCCAGCCATTTACAGATTGGCAAGTGCTGGATGTTTCATTTCAACAGGCATTATCAGTGACGGATTCATGGGGGTGGGTGGCAGCCGGCCTACCTTCCCCACTAACTTTTTAAAAATTATTTTAATAATGTATAAAAAAATGAAAATTATATTAAAGTGTGCCATTTCTGGCCATCTAAAGGTCCCATAATCATAATTTTTCCATGGTGGTGCTTAAGTGGGTGGACCTTCTATCTGTGAACTTCCCTCCCTGGGCCCCATCTATTTTGAATTTCTTGATCCACCGCTGATTACATCATGAATTTGAGTCTGGAAGTTATTATTAAAGGAACAATTTAAGAATGTGGCTAAGTACCATAACTTCATACCATCTCTTAAGAAAATGGTTGTACAATATACAATGCATATTACCAACTAATTTGCAAGATGCAATAACACTAAGAGACATTTTCCTTTCTAATAAATTCATGAAAAGAAACTTTGGCCGACCTCCACATACATGGATGCATCTGACATACCTATTTCTTGTTTTACCAAATCTCAGAAATCTTGTTCACACTTGTTTTCACAATGTTGCCATGTCAAAGAATGTGAGCCTACAAACAATAATGGTGGACCATGAAATTTGTCTAAATTTTGTAATTGTTTAAATACTAATTTCCTTTAAATTGCGATGGTTTTAAATAAGTAGTGTCCATTTTGTATTGTACTGTACAATATTACTGATTCTGTGTAGCAAGTCATTTTGAAATTGTCTACATTTCTATTCACAGTTGTATATCAACATGGCTGCAGCAGAGAAATACTTGTCCTATATGTAACGCAAGACCGAGGCCTGTGCCAACGGAAAGAACCGCTTTGGTAAGCATTTCACAGAGCTTATGAAGCTACCAGCATAAAGATAAGCACTCATCGTTGTCTTCCATCAATCACGTACCAGCAGATATGTTACCCTTGTATATACAACATATAATTTTTTATACCATATCGATGACATCATTTTGTAAAAATGATATTTCTGGTTGCCTATCTCAATGCAGTTGTAAGGCTGAGTGGAAATATTTTTACATTGTTTTTAATTGAAGTGTCTTGAGACAACCTAGCGATTGCATTAGTCTATAAAGTTATATCTACATGCATTAAATTTGTTATGGGTATCAACAAAATATATTTTTTTTCGCTTATGCACATGATACAAACAAATGTGCAAGTAGATGAGAGGGTACAAAGAGGATATTTTTCTTGTGAGGTACATCTAGAAGTACTATGTTCGAATGTAGCTATATTTCATGTTTGGATGTAACTAAAGGCATTGCAAATTGTGGATTCCTTGAAGACAATTCGTTCTAGCTACATCTAGAAATATTTTGTTTCGAATACAGCTTATGTTTGGATGTAACAAAAGACAAAACATTGAGGATTCCTTGAAGACTATGGTTCTTGTTTGATCAGATTCAGTATCCCTATGGGCAGGCATGGAACAAAACATTTATGCCTCCAACCATGAAAATTGTCTCGATAAAATTTTTCCAGCATCAAATGTTTTCTGTACACTGTATAGCCCAAGGTTCAGTTTATTTTTTTGAATTTTTTCCCCCAAAAAATGGCTCCAGGGCATTCATGATGCCTCCCACTGCCGGGTTGCGTGGTCGCACACTTTTTCTAGCCCTGCCTACTAGCAGCATTCCCTGTAAGAAGCATTCCTTTTGTGAGATATATTCCAGCTGTTGATTCTATTCCACTCCCATTGATTTGATTGGACACCATGTAATGTAATTTTCATGACCATGGCATTGCTTTTAATTTTGAAAGTTGTTATATGACAAAATGTTTTAAGTAGTAATGAAGTAGATGGCAACCTCAGAGTTTGTTTCAATGCATCCATAAATTTAGTTGCAATTTGTTCATAGTATATGTACACCTAATGGAATGGTGGACATTGCTGATGTGGGAACCAATTATCCAATATCAGTTTTTTTTTTAGAAGCAAATCTAAGTGCATCTCATTAGAGATAGTGCATTAAAAATATTGATTTTAATATTTATATTTTTTATTTTATTTATTTAATAAACTTCTCACAAATGCAAACATACAAAGGCGAAGGAGACGAGCCAACAGGTGACGAACACCTCTACAAGGGCTCGCTCCTTACAAAATAAATACAGAATTAGAAATCTGGATATAAAAAATGACAGCACAAACACGAAGACAATAAAGGAATAAGAAAAATCGAGAAAAGAATAATGGAAACAAGAATTGCCACAGTGAATATAAAAATCATTAATTAGAAATTGCCAAGAAGCAGCCTCAAAAATTGCAGGGGCTACAAAGTCACTCCTCGCAAAGAATACATTTTTAGATATTAATACAGGGTTAAATAGTAAAATGAAAGTTATAAAATTAATCATTTCTGACATTTCATTATGAAGTTCAGAAGTTTAAATATATAGATTACTACAGTCGTGTCGTCACAACGATAGCAACAAGTAGCATCACATGGTATCATGACGTAACACTGTAGTACTATATAGCTGTTTAAAGAACAGTATTTGAGAAGTTTACGATTTTGAACATTTCTCATGGTAGAGACCATCACCAAATCGTTAAAAGTTCTTGTTTTAACGTCAAAAATGGGGAAAGTGAGAACATGGGTAGCATGATGTATAAATATATATAGTTTATCGAAAAAATTCATCTGTTTTCAATTGTGTGTCAGATATGAAATTCCTTTTAGATAAAACCTAAAATGCTTAGCAGTAAGCATGTTAGGGTTTATCTAAAAGGAATTTCATATCTGATATATATAGTTTAGTTTAGTATAATAAAATAGAGTAAAACACAATTTACCAGGAATGACTGGTTTGACTTGTCTTCACCACAAATTATATCCAGGAGCTGAACCCTGGCCCTCTCCCATCAACACAGCCCACCAAAAGCTGAGGTACCCAAACCTTGTCAAATAGCCCTACAGCAGAATTGATTGATAGCATGTTGTCACAGAATATATATTTTTTTGTACACAACATGACCCTCTACAAATTGGTGATCACTTCAATACAAGTCAATAACAGTAATAATATTTGATTGTTTTGTTTTTCCAAGCAGTATACTGTATAGTTATTTACTGTATTTGTATACATTTTAATGAATATTCAAGTAATTTCTATAGTTATTTTGTTGAAAATGTGCAATATTATAAGTATGATTTAGCTTCATTAGCTATTTTATTTTTTATATAATTTTGTTTTTAATACTTTTTTCTTTGTTCTTAATTTCTGCGAGATGAATGCTGTAAATATTTTGTATGATTTTAATTACATTTCAAAACCAAAAGAAAAATTGCAAATCTACATTAAAAAATATATTTTATGAACTTTAGTACAACTGTGATTGACACAATCCTTTTTAACAATGCAATAGATCTGTTTTTTTAAATATACAGTATCTTAGAGAAAATGCTGCAAATGTTATGGAAATGCAGAATCTTTAAAACAGATTTTGAAGTTTGTTGCCACAGTGATTTACAGTTTTTCAGGTTTTCCAAGTTGAAGAAAGTCATTTCTGAGAGATCTTGTTGAATGAGATTTTTTAACAAATCAAATTTATGTTTTTTGCCATGCATAATGATACGCATAAATATACAAATATTACAGTATGAATTTGCAGGAAATGGGTTATTTTCCAGGAGAATCTTGCTTGCTTACATGAGTGCAGGAGGCCATCTCAATTTTTGGGAGACTCCAGTGAAACACTGAGAGTGTCACAGTTCTGGGACACTCAGAACTTCTGCTATTTTTAAAACAATGTAATGGATTCCTGTGTTTAAAAATTAGGATCTGCAACAATGGTGTATACATACTACAAAATATAGTTTACTAGAGTACTAAACCATGAATATGCCTTAAAATATATAGATGAGGTTTATGAGATTAAGGTCTTCAAATTATGTGTCTACATATTAATATATATTAATATATATATAATATATTTCGCTAAGGGTTTATAAATAATCAAAAGAATACAGAAACTCCTCAGTCAGTAGACTATTTTCAGTCATGCCTTCTGCAGCATCGGGTATATGTATGATATTTTTATACAATCCATTTAGTATAAAAATATAATTTGTAGAATAATGACTGTCTCTTATACACATCTAGATGTGTATAAGAGACAGCCTAGATACACCCCTGAAGATTCCCCTGCTGTAAATGCACACCCCAATTTGCATTTCAATCTAGGCCAGTCACACACATTAGCTTTCAAGGATGCTTGGATATATGTAGGATGTTCTGGATCTGGTACTTGCAAAAGTAAAACAAAATGGATTATGAACAACCAGAAATGTTTTTTTGTTTGGTACATTGCGTTATATACCTTCTTGGAGGGATCGATAAAAGTGTTTGTCAAATAAGAATTATTCATCTATATATATATGCCTTCCTTTAAAGAAATCACCTATTATATACACCTTGGTAATTTGACATCTATCTTTAAAATATACTGTACTGTAAAAGTTATTGTATACTATAATCCTAGAGGGTGCTCTAACAATCGGTACAGTACATTACTTTGTCAATTGTTTTTACAAACAACAGTTGTATGCCCATATATATAGTCTTGATGTACCTATATATTATCATGATGGGCTGTCACCATGAACCTATATAGGCATGTCAAATTTTTGTTAATTAAAATTTCAGTATGGATAGAGGGCTTAAGTATCTACTCGCCGGTATATGTGTACCTAGTTACCGGTACCAGATTTTTACTTGGGAAAGGGGGAGGGGGGCTTTATGAATCCATCTCTGTGCAGTTGATTTTAAATTTGAGAGACAATCCCCTTCTCTACTCTGTTATAGTAGGTGCCTTAATCTGTCCACACATATGATATACCCATATTTGGGTGTAATATGACATCACCATAATGGGCTCATGACAATACTGATATTGGGTATTTATATTGCGCCTTTCCCTTGCGGTTATGAAGCGCAAACTTGTCACAAATTTGTCACTTACAATTTGATAGTGTGGACAAAGCTTTACTTGTATGTTGAAAAATTAGTCACAGGATATAAGTGAGGCCAACTATATGTGACAAAAATTAAAATTATGTTATTAATTCATAAAATTTTTAAGTATATTATTATCATTATTAGTTATAAGAATTGCAATTTGTATGTGAAGATGGGATGTTACAAAGTTTTATATACTTTAATATTAAATGATCATATCAAATAGAGAATTTTTTTTCTGTGTTGTCATCAATATAGTATTTGCCGCTTATTCACGTAAACATACGGTTTGTAGACACTTATTATTTATGTGGAGGCAGGTGCAGATCCAGTGGGGGCCATGGGTTGTATAACACCCACCAACAAAAAAGAGAAGAAAAGAAAGGAGAAAGAGGGAGTACAGTACTCCAAGACAAGCTAATTTTATATTTAAATTCCATGTACCAGTCTCTATGGTCAAGCATTCCTAAACAGAAATTTCAAATAGCACTGTCCCTGCTCAGTGCTTAGCCTGTCTCTTATACACATCTAGATGAAAAAAAAGAGAGCAGAAAGACCACAGTACCCCAAGACCAGCTAAATTTTTATTTGAATTCCATGTACCAGTGTCTATGTTCAAGCATTTCTAAACATAAAAAATTAAACACCACCATCCCCACTCCCCGCTTATGCTATGCTTTGTATGTCGCACGTCCCCCTACCCAGATTTTTCTCTGGATCTGCCCTTGGGAAGTGTGACACAGTGGTAAATCTTTGGGCTTCCAATCAAAAGGTTACTGGTTTAAATCCAAGGTAATAATAATAATTTGTATTTAGCACAAACAGGTATTGTCTCTGGGAAAGGCAGTCATCAGCATTTATCTCTCCACTCACAAGTTGGTACGGTTTGAATGCAAAATTGTTATGGAGTACACCCCTGAGAAAGCCAAGTATGTGTATGCTTCAATAAGTGTTGCACTATGGACATAAAGGCTTTGATGTTATGTGCTATAACATTAGATGTACCATACTGTATATAAAATATCTATATATTATTTATAGTATCATGCTGAACAAAACAAGGCCACTTATACAGTTACCTCCATCTTTAATATCAGTAAAACATTTGAACATACAGTAAGAATACATTTACAATTAGAGAACTATTACATTATCTTTATTCTATCTATTTACCAATTCCAGTATGGATTACAGTACTGTACCACTAAATGCATACATTTGGTAATATTGTATTATACTGTTTCATTCATGTAATAACTTTAATTTGAGGACATAATTAACATCCAACATTTCATGATATCAAAGTTAATTTAACAAAACTTGTCCTATTAATCTTGTATGCGTTTGATGAGGTTTCTCCACGTCTTCAACTAGAATATGTACACATCTAAAAAAAATATGTGCTTCATTTGCAATTCACTGGTATCATTTGAAATACGTAAACAAGAATTTCAATTCTGTACAGTACTTGTAATATAAACATCTGGTTCTGCTTACTGGTAGTGTACATTTCTAAAGGCATAGGCTACGGTAAATGAGAACAAGATATTTGTAATTTGACTAAAATAATAATTAGATTAACTTCTATATGGTTTTTAAAAATATGTAGGCCAATATATTCAAGGACAGTAGAGTACCATATGTGCAATAGCCAGTGTAGCCTATTTTCAATATGCATAAAATAGTGACATCATTATTCAATGTATGCACAAAATAATGATGTCATTATTTGATGCACATGGAATAATGACTACAGCTTTTTTATATACACATACTGAACACAGCATAGTTAATCCTCTCTAATGGTTTAGTAGAACGCCATCATTTCAAAGAAAAAATAATATATACAGAACATAAACAACATAATGTAAATTTGAAAGTTCAGCACAGTGACAGCTATCATAGTTAAGAACAATTTTCTTAGTTACCGATGTGCAATCCTACTTTTAGTACATAAATTCTTCATATAACACAATTTACCTTTGATTAGTGGAAGATAGCCATTAAGTAAAACATTTTATTTTCTTAATATTCATTAACAAATTAAAACCCCATATTCACATAACAACATATACCATAAATAACATTGTTTTATAATAAACTTTCTAATAATTATTAAACTTTAACCTGTTGCGACTATATCAACAGATTAAGTTTTTCTTGAAATGATACGTTTTTTTTCCCACATTAGTTTTCAACAATTTATCTGAGTTCTGTATATGTTTTCTGGTTGAGTTTATTGTAAACTTAATCACAACATTCCATGGCATTGTAGAACAACTTTTCTGATATATTATGCTTTAACATGGCAAAATAAAAATATTTTTATTTTGTTTATATTGCCAAAATCAGTATCAAATGGCATTTCCTGCAAGTTAGTACTTTATATATTATACAGTGTACACAAGTAATAATAAAACTAATAATTTATGTAGTACAATAATTCATGCACACAGTGCACTTAAATAAAATAATACATTTTTTTTTTGCAATTTATTTAAATGTTCCTTGTCAAACACATTGAGGTCCAAACAATGCCCACTGTAATCACTATTATTTATGCAAATCATTATTTTTATAATTATCTTAAAAGCTTTTCTTATTGAAATTATTTAAGGATAATGGTAAGTATTTCATTGTGTTGATCATTTTTTAAGCTGATCAAAACTTTCAGCGCACATACAAATAAGATTTTATTTGATCCCAAAGTAATCTGATTCTTCTGATTCTGATAGCAACGACAATAGAGCAGATAGGTGGTGGAATGTGTTGTTGGCCTGCCAGGTGCATTAGGAAGCTGCCGAGTTGAATTCTTATAACAATATAGCAATATTCTATTTCTGAAAGAAAAATTCAAAACAATTGGAAATTATTTTTTATTCAACTAAAAATAATTCTAAAATATATGAATATATATATATAAATATATAAATTAAAGGCAAAATACTGAAAAACAACAATGCTGTGGGAAACAATGACTGGATCTCAGTAGAGATACAAAAATGATAAGCAACAGCTAAAAAGTAAACGTAAGTAAACAGCCAGAAATAGAACCAGAGCTTTCGGACAAGACTAGTCCTTCCTCAGTGGGGAGTGAGTGAGGGTAGAAAAAGCTAGATGGTATAAAGTGAGAATTTCATGCAAGCATGATTGGAAACA